ACAACATGCGTGCTCGTCGCTCGGCTTGAAACTGTTGATCACCAAACTCGATCTCGGGCTCGACAAAAGTTTGGATACTTTTTCGGGGTCACTCATCTGAAAGATCCTGGTGTCGACATGCGTGCGCCAGAGAACGGTGGATGCGACCTTAGCAGCTGTGACAGGGCGTTGCCTTGGTCAGGACGAGTCCTGGGACGGCGCTTCGAGAGAGGCCGCGAGCGCGGCAATACATGTAAATGAATTTCGTCACGGGCGTTTGAGCCAACAGAAGCGCGTGGCGAAGCTGTTGTGTAGGCAACCAAATACTTGAACCGTCTTTAAACCTATGCAGCCACTTCGAATGACAAACTTTGTTGTTTGACGCCAGCAGAGAAAAAAAACGTTCCGTGTTGAAAGACTAGCGCGCAGACTCAATGACGGCGGTACGCGGCTCATGAACGCCAAAAGCTGCATCGGCTTCTGTGGTACCAAGGTCAGGGCCGCGGTGACCTGCCGCTGATGAAGCCAAAAAGCCAAATCACTTCTCTCGCAAGTTTGCCGCCTCCGCCATCAGGACCTTGCGGGTGGACTGGGCGGCGGCCGACTACGCTGTAGCTCCAGAGGAGGACTGTCGTCACCACGGCGATGGCGGTACGGAGTGCCCATGCCGTGCTTGTCGGTGCAGCTGGGCGTTTCCTCGCCATCGCACGGACGTCCAATCCCCGTGCATTTGTCGGTTTCGCGCATGCTTTTTCCTCAAGATGGTCATAGATACTCCTCGATGGCCTTCGACGAGCAAGAATGCACACGTCCGAGCGATGCCAAGTTTCGGGCATACTGTTTCAGGATGCGGCCCCTGCGCGGACGTCCCCCCAGAGAAACGAGATGCGACTGTAGGATAACACTGGTATGATGCCGCGTTCAGTTGCATCCCTTCTCTGCCAGTGGCAGAAATCATCATTAGCCGCTGTAGTTGTAGCACGGACAAGTGAAGATGAGGAGGAGGAAGATGAGGAGGAGGAGGAAGAGAAGGAGTTCGGGTACCCTGGGGAGCGCGTGTCCTCCAAGCGCGCCACACCGTAGGCACCGACTAGCGCCAGACGAGAGCGCGCGCCTCTGCGCAAGCCGAGGCGATGCCTTCGGCTGTCGGCGCGGGGGAGGAGGAGGAGGAGGAGCGCACGTCACCTTGGAGGGGCAAGCTCGTTCGTCAGAGGTTGAGCGCAGAACGAGATGCACTGCGGGCCTGGGAGAGCATAGCGTCAGAGATAACCGACGCTGCTCCTAGACGGGGCCAGAGCTTGTGGTAGATGTGATCCGACAAAACTAAGGCTCTATGAACCCGCACCCAGCCGACCTCCCCTTCGTCGTAATCCCCTTCGGCGCGGGGGAGGAGGAGGAGGAGGAGGAGGAGGAGGAGGAGGAGGAGGAGGAGGAGGAGGAGGAGGAGGAGGAGGAGGACGATACTGAGAAGGGGCAGGCTCGAGGAAGGAGGCACATCGAGAGATGAGGAGTGCCAGTAGGGCGGGAAAGAGGAGGAGGAGGAGGAGGAGGAGGAGGCAGCGGCGTGAGGCGAAGCCGGGGGGGCGAGGGAAGGGCACGTGCTGGGGCAGTGCTCCCATACAGTCGAAGCGCTGTCTTAAGGAACCCTAGCTAAGAAACGAGGCCCCCTCATTTTCGAGGAGTTAAACTTCGACTTCCCAGAAGAAGCCGAAGGAACACCTGAGACTAACTGTAACACAATGAAAGACCACTGAGCCCCTCCCCAACGAAAAGGGTTCCTTTCCAGCGGCCCGTCTGTACCCTCTTGCATGTGCACATCGTCAGTGTGGCCAGTTTGGAGAGCCCTGCAACGGACGAAACTTTGGCCCAACACTGGCAACAACAACTGCGCCTTGGGCGCGAATGAATTGTGGGGAAGAAGGGTGCCCTTTTCGGGCCTGAGAGGCCCCCTTTGAGAGCCCCCAGAGGGCCTCTTTTCGGCAGCCCTCGCTGCCCCCCCCCCCCAATCTATCGCCCCCCCCCCCAGTACACGCCCTCCGAACGTCGATACGCTTCGATCGTCCAACTTGACTGTCCTAACTTGATCGGAATGGCCCACCTCTCTCGCGGCTTCCGCCGGCCCTCCGCTGGCTTCCGCCGGCGGAACCGCCGCCGTTTTACGCGGAAGAGATACCAACTCACTCGATCCTCGGAGGCAGGGCCCTCCTTGGAACGCCTCGACTGCGCCGGTGTGCTTTGATCGTCCGGCTTGCCTGTCCTGACCTGACCGGGGCATGGCCCACCCTTTGCCATCTCGCGGGGCCAGGGCAGGAGCGCCGCGCCTTCTCCCGGCGACGCCCGGCTCCTCGGTCCTCGCCTCGGCCGCCCTGCCTGCGGTCCACTGGGGAGGCACCAGGAATCGCAGCCCACCTCCTCGTCCCACTCCTCCTCGTTCCCTCATCCTCGCCCCACCCATCTTCTTCTTGCTCGTTATCCTCCTCCTCCTTCTCCTCCTCCTTCTCCTCCTCCTCCTGCTCCTCCTCCTCCTCCTTCGGGGATCTGCTGACCCAGGTCAATCCAAACCTGGGTCAGTCAGGCCTTGCGGGATCCTGCAGGATCCTGCGCCCGAGCCCGGGTCAATGCGACCCTGGCCCTGCAGGATCCTGCAAAGTCCAGCAGGATACTGCAAACACCCGGGTCAATGCGACCATGGCTCTGCAGGATCCTGCAAGATGCGGCGCTCTGGCTGACCCCCGTTTGCATTGACCCCCATCTCTTGAGCCCCGCCTCCTCCCTCCTTTCTCCCGGGCCCCTCCACAGGGGAGGGAGCCTTTTCCCACCTGCCTCCCCCACACTCCCCTCTCCCTGCAACGGAGTGTGTGTGTGTGTGTGTGGCGGGGGTGGGGGTGGGGGGGCAAGGCAGGAGAGAGAGCAAGGGCGAGGAAAGGGAGAGGGAGGCGGAGAAGGGACGGAAGAAGAAGGAGACAGTAAAGGAGGGATGAAATAATGAAAAATGAGCCAAGCCCCCACAGCTTGGAATTCCACTGGCGGCGCAGCTCTGTGTGGTTGTGGTTGTTGTTGTTGTTGATGATGATGATGATGGTGATGATGATGATGATGATGGCAATGATGATGATGGCAAGGATGATGATGATGATGATGATGATGATGATGATGATGATGATGATGATGATGATGATGATGATGATGATGATGGTGTTCCGAGGTTTGCGTGGTAGGCCCGCCCGATGCTACTGCGGTGCCGATGCCGCATGTCTTGCACGCAATAATCCGCTGTCCTTGCTATCAGAAGCTGGCCTCTGTTGACTACAGTAAGCGTGATGGCACCGTCATTTACGCCAGCTTCATCTGCAGCGGTTGCTGCAGGCTGGGGCGCATGGTTTGGGGCTCACCCGCCACCCAGGAGTTCTCTCGAGTCTTCAAATTCCGTAGCGGTGTGGCTTGGTGCACGCGTGGGACACATTGATATGAGTTCTTGGTTCCAGTTCGGTTTCGGACCCCCGCGATTTACATAGTTTATCCAGAAAGCCTCGCTCTCACCTCCTCCCTCTTCCTCCTCCCCCTTCCTCCTTCACTTTCCGTCTCTCCTTCCCCTCCTTCCGCCTCCCTCTGCATCGTCCTCCTCCTCCCCCTCCTTCCTTTGTTCCCTCGGCTTCCCCAGAAAGCAACAGACCATTGGGAAAACAAAAAACAAAAAAACAAAAAAAAACAATGTTTTGGGAGAATACAGATTGCAAGGCGAACCCGCCCGAAACATTGTTTTTATTGTTTGTTTGTTTTTTCCGTTTTTGTATTTTGGGGGTTTTCCAAGGCTCTGATCCAAAAGGGGATTCTGATCAGCAGGAGGGGGAGGGGGAGGAGGAGGAGGAAGACGGCGGCGGCGACGATGGCGACGACGACGACGGCGGCGGCGACGAGGACACAGCGCGCTCGAGCAGGCACGGTGCACTTCGACCATGATTCTTGCTTGCCTCTGCAGAACCTCTGGCTCGCTTCTCTTTCCATCGTGCCTTGATGCGGCAGAAGGGGGCATCCATAAATGGATTCCCCTTCGACGATGTGCCCCTGCGACGATGTGGCCGACATGGAAAGGCCCCCAGGCCAGTAGCGCCGATCGGATGGCAAAACACAACGGGGAACCCAAATAATGGGTTCCCACCTCCGCGCCCGAAACCACTGCCGTTCGTCTGCGCGTGATTTACTGCCCGAACCAGAGCCTGAACCAGAGCCAGAACCAGACCCAAAACCAGAAACTGAACCAGAGACAGACCAAGAACCAGAGCCAGAGCCAACATCATAGCAAGAACCAGAGCCAGAACCAGAGCCAGAACCAGACCCAGAACTAGAGCCAGAACCAGAACCAGAATCAGAACCAGAACCAGAACCATAACCAGAACCAGAACCATAATCAGAACCAGATCCAGAACCAGAGAGCCAGAACCAGGGCCATAACCAGAACCAGAACCAGAACCATAACCAGAGCCAGAACCAGAACCAGAGCCAGAGCCAGAACCAGAACCAGAGCCAGAACCAGAGTCAAAACAATAACCAGAACCAGAACCAGAAACAGAGCCAGAGCCAGAACCATAACCAGAACCAGAGACAGAACCAGAGCCAGAACCAGAACCAGAACCCGAGCCAGAACCCGAGCCAGAACCAGAGCCAGAACCAGAGCCAGAACCAGAGCCAGAACCAGCACCAGAACCAGATCCAGAGCCAGAACCAGAGCCAAAACCAAAGCCAGAACTTGAACCAGAGCCAGAACCATAACCAGAACCAAAGCCACATGTGGAGCAGCCCAGCCCAGTTCCAAGCAGACATAAGATAGCCGATCCTACATCCTTAAACGGGGATGCCCTTGCCATCCCACAGGAAACCGACGCCGACATGTTGCTTTTATGGGGCAGCATATTATGAAGTCTCTGGCCGCCCTCCCTCCGAGAAGTTCCGTAGTGCCCGGCCGGCTCGAGCTGTTTGATTGCGCGCGCCTTTCGTGCCGACCCCTCTCTTTAGCGGCTGCCATGGCGAGGGGGAACGCGATCCCCCCCAAGACCCTCCGCGAGACTCTCGGGGACGCCGTTGGGGACGAGAGCATCAATTTCGGCGAGGCCCCCGCGCGCGCCGACGGCATGAACCCCCACTCCCACGCTGGCCTCCCGCACGGCCACGTAGGGCAAGAGGGGCCGTCGCAGATCGCGGATCTTCCTGCTGCGCCCAGGAACGCCCGCGCAGGCACGAAGATCTCTTACTTCGGGGACCTGCTGATGAACCAAGCTTACGAGGAGATCACGGACAGTGACGGGAAAAAGGTCGGTGTCCTCACTGACTGGAAGGACGCCCATGGGCAACCGTGCCGTTTGGACGTGGTCAAGGACCTTGCCACGAAGTCCAATTTCAGTGGCCTCCCTCCACCGTTCAACCTCAAGAGCCAGCCTGGTGGGCCGCACGTCATGCAGATTTTCGTCTTGGGCGCTGGCGATGGCAAAGTGCACGTTTTCAAGGGCGTTGACCTGAAGGGCCAGTTCCTGAAGATGGCCAACTGCGAGCCCATGTGTCATTGCACGGGCGCCGCGTATCAGTATGGGAACCAGTACAGAGCAGGCCGCAATGCGATTTGTTACCTCCTGGAGAAACTCGGCGGCCTACAGATTCGCTTCTCCACGCTGACCGCCACGGCAAAGCCTGCCAAGCGCGCGACCGAGCGGGAAAAGAAGCAGGAAGGGCACCGCTACATCGAGAAAAAGGGCCCGAAGAGCAACAACCGCAATCAGTTCATGGAATTCGCGGACAGGGACAGCAGGGCCGAGGAACACGGCGCCATCTGGTTAGCCCCATTGCCCCCTCTCCCCCCGACCCCCATCTTCGGCCGCGCGGGCCTTTTGACCGCCGAGCGATTGCGGCTAGCCCAGCAGCGCCGTTGTTCCCCCGCCCCCAGGAGATCAACGACCCGCAGTCGAAAATCTACGGCTAGGAGGGGCCCTGCGTGGCCCAGGCGCTGCGGAACCACGCGAGCGGGCGCATCAACGCCAAGCGCCTCTCTGTCTGGGTGCTCACGCTGAAGGACTTCGAGCCGTGGTTCATCAACGAGGTGCTCGTGAAGATCCTGCCAACTCTCCACCGCAACGGCGTGCTCTGGATCGGCAAGACCAGGTGGGGAAGTTGACGGCGTCGAAGACACTTGCGTTCTTGATGTCCATGCTCGAGATCGATGCCCTTGGGGGCGATGACAGGGAGGGCGCGCCTGAGCCTTCAATTGTCACCGCCAGGCACTTTGAATTCTTCAAGGGCGAGCCCGTGGAGAGGGCGCTGCCCGCGGTGTTCGACGACGGGGACTTTGCACAAGCAGGGCGCGTCCGTGTTAAAGGCTTTCCTCAACCCGAGCGAGGAGGATCCCACGCTGTGGGCGAGGTGGGGGCCCAGCACGTTCGCCCCAGGGGCGCCCCGCCAGGCCGTGAACAACAGCTACAACAATGCTCTGGAGAAGCGGATGGTGGCAGACTGGCGCCAAGGGAAATTCATGGTGATCACGATCCAGCAGCTCATGGCCCTCATCGCGCCCTCCCTGAAGCAGATCACGGAGGAAGAGGACATGAAGGCCCTGCTCGCGAGGTCCCACGTCGTCGTGACCATGGACACGCGCGTGTATTTCCGTTTGGCATCCGATGAGTTTCCAGAGGACGGCGTCGCGCCTTTCTACACATACAGCAAGAAGTCAAAGCCTGACCTCTTCAACTACTCGCCCGAGGCGCGCGCGTGCTTCGGCAGGTGCAAGGACGACCCGACCTCTCCGAACAACTACCCGCCCGACTTCAAGGAGAAGGCGGAGTGGTCCTTGAATTTTGCGAAGCGCTTGATGCGCGGCGAACAAGTGCCCACTGTGTCGACCACCCGCGGGACCTCGCTCTTCGGGGAGCCCGTGCACAGGGTTCAGCCACAGGCCGCGCCCCCGCCAGCGGGCGCGCCCGCGGCCCCGATGGCAGCCGAAGCCGCGCCAGAGGAGGGCCCGCCAGCGGTTCAGCCAGAGGCCGTGCTCACGCCAGCGGGCGCGCCCGCGGCCCCGATGGCTGCCGAAGCCGCGCCAGAGGAGGGCCCGCCAGCCAAGCGGGCGAAAGCCGGCGCCCAGGGGGGGCGCGCGGCGTCCCCCGATCCTTTCGCGGGCGGCTTCAGGTGCGACCGCCTCGGGGGCGACCGCGGCGACTACGAGGGCGAGGAAGAGCCGCCGCTCGGGGCCCCCGCGCAGGAGATCGAGCGGCTCTGGGGGCTCCACCAGGCAGGCGCCATCACGCTCGCGGAGTTCAACGTCTTGAAGAAGAGTGCGATCAGCGAAGGGTTCAAGGCCGCCTTAGGCCTTGCAGAAGGTTGCGCCCGCCAAGAAGGAGGATCGCAGCGCCAAGCGGGAGCAGATGCCTCGCGCGCCAATCAAGCGGGACCCGACCGAGGGGGCTGCCAAGTGGGAGGTGTTCGAGGCGAAGCCCGTGGACAAGGAGACGATCCAGGGGCTCTTCCCAGGCTCGGGGAGCGCAGAAGTCGGGCGGCGCTCGCGAGGCGTCATAGGAAGCCCGTTCGTTAACCAACGGGTGCTTGAATTGCGCGCCGTTCGGTCGCGAGCACGGCTGCCCCTTCTGGCAACGTGTAACGGGCGATTCCTTTGCGCGCCCTCAGTCGGCCGCCTTGCTTCTGAGCCCCCAACAGGCGTCGCGGCGATCGACTCGGACGAGGACTGAGTGAGGCCGCGGCCGCGGGGGGCCAGACGTAGCAGATGAGTCTAGCTGCGGTTGGTAGCCGAATTCGTTCGGGAAGGCATGCGACTGTTGGGGCGTGTCCAAATCGTTGGGGGATGTAAACAATACGTGACAGCCTTTTATAGGCAACCTGCGCGCGTGGCAAGGATAGATATCGCGCGCGATGGCACCCGCGCGCCCTTGCCTCTGCGGCCCTCCTTTAGCCAGCCATAGCCCAGCAGGCTCCGCGGCGGGGGTTCAAGGGAAGTTCAAGGGGATTGCATCGATATCCTGCGTGCTCTCTAGCATGATCTACCTTCTGCTCTGCGCGCGCACGATCTGGCCCACTCTCTACCCTTGGCCCGCGATTACCGTGGTCTCTTTTCGCCGCGCAGCCACAATTCCTTCACCCGTCGCTTCGCTTGCACCGCAGCTGTTTTGGCTCGAGGGCGCATCGGCAAACCGCATATCGGGGGCGCTTGCGGCGATGGCAGGCATGGCGCCCACGCACAACAACATCAAGAGCTTCAAGAAGGCGCTCGACGCGGCGACTTTCGACACGAGGGAGGAGTTTCTCGCTGTTGTCAAGTACGCCAACATCGAGGACATGTCGCCGTATCCGAAGGACCCCACGACGCCGCTGATGGTCTTTGCCCAGCACTTCGGCGTGGTTCCCGATGAGTACTGCTGCCAGGAGTGCGGCTATGAGTTCACCATGAAGGTCAAGTCTGGGACGTCTGACCGCGCGGCGCGCTGGCAGTGGCGGGGCCCTCGGCGCGACCGCGCCAGCTGCTGCGACGCATGCGGCGACGTTGAGATCTCAATGACGAAGGGCACCCTGTTGGCAGGCGTCAAGGCGTCAAAATGGCTCCCATTCTTCGGCTGCATGGTCATGTGGGCCCAGGAGTGCCCGCACTTGAAGATCGTCCACGAGCTCGGCAAGCAGCACAACGTCGCGGGCCCCTGAATGGAGAAGTTCCAGGATGTCGCCGCGTCTTACATCGCCGGCAAGATCTCCCTCCCGAAGCTGCACGAGGCCTTCAAGAAACGGGCCAAGGCCAGTGGCAAGAAGGGCGTGAAAAAAGACTATCTCCAAGAAGAAACAGGCCAAATTCATTGTGCAGGCAGACGAGGTCTTCCTGAACAAGTCCAAGGTCAGCCGCCTCGCGCCAGGCACCCGCCCCAAGAAGGGCAAAGCATGGCTGTGGGGCGCGGTCGTGCAGGGCAGCCCAGAGAACTTCGTCTTCCGAGTCTTGGAGCACCCAGAGGACGCGTTCGACGGGCGCCCCCGCGGAAAGCAGGAGATGCTGACGAATTTCGACACGCTGGGCCTCCGCAAGGGCATGGTCGTCGCCACGGACGGGTGGAAGGCCACGATCGCCGCCATCAGGCAAACCAAGGGCAGGGATGGATGGTCGGACAGGGACCTGAAGCACGAGATCGTCGTCCACTCCAAGGGGGAGGTCAAGAACCAGCGCGGCTCCACGATGAACCACATCGAGAACCTTTGGTCGGTCCTCAAGAGGTGGCTCAAGAAGCGCCTTGGCGGTCGCCTGCCGACTACCTCGGATCGGCGGAAGTGGGCCCGCTGGGTGACGGAGTTCCAGTACAGGAAGAACGTCACAAAGACGCACTCGGTCGATGGCGGCAACACCTACTCCCTGCCGGCGAAGGCGTTCCTCTCCCACGTGGCGGAGGTCACGCTGGCTGGGGGGCTTTGACGCGGCGCCTCGGGTCCTGACGCAGCAAGTAGTCTCGAGGCTCGGCGGCGCTTGTGATGCAGGCAAAATGCTGGGCTCGCGCTTGCATGGCGTGAGAATGGGGCCACCCATGCCTGGAGTTGAACAGCGAGCCCACGTCACTGCGGCAAACAACATCATCCAATCATCAGCGCCATCGCCACCATCGCACCACGCCGCATTCGCAGAATTCCTTAAATCGCGGGGGTCCGAAACCGAACTGAAACCCTTCTGGTACCGAACTGGTTACTCCCGCGGGGCAGTTGCAAGGGATACTCACGAAGATGTCGCGGAAAGACTCGTATGATGTTGAGTTGCGCGCGAGGGACAGAAATTTCCAAGGGGTCGAACAGCTCCCAGCGAGTGAGACTTGCCACAACTTTGGCATGAACAACAGTAATGCTTGAGATGCGCACCTTGCTATCACGCCCCATTTTCCACGTGAGCGCATGTTCATGTTGCATCCGTACAGTTTCACGGCAACCATATAATGATGTATACTTTGTGCTAATGTATGCGCTAATGTGTGTTGTCGCTCCAGCTTGCAACGAAATCTGGGATATCCAAACTTGCTGTCTTGATTCAATCGGCACTGTTCTCACCCTGTTCTAATAATTGTATCGGCTTGAACCGCCTGTGGATGTCGGTGCGCTCGCCTGCGGGGCAGGTGAACCTCGCTTCTTGACACCGCGTCAGGGTTTCATTTGACATGCAATTTCCTTGTCTCCCGTCCCCCTGCTGTTGTGCGCTGCTTGTCGTTGTGATGCTGCTGTCCATCGTTCTGCTGTCTTTGTAATTCCTTTGCGGGTCGTTGCTTCCATGGAGTGAAAATGCGGCTCTTGCCGGTTGGACATTCCAGTGTGTACGGCTCCTGGGGCTTGGGGCTTCGTTGCAACAGAAAAATCTGGGATATCCAAACTGACACCGCCAACGCGGCCAGGAAGCTGCAGCCAAATTAGACTCCACGTCCCACCGAGGCCAGGGTTCGCAAGCCCCCCTCGGAGTCTTTGTGTTTCCTATAGCTGTCCAGCACGACTATTCCTCCGAATCCTGGGCAGGCCAGTATCGACCACCCCCTGTCATCCCCTGAAAAACTACTGTGCGGTGCACATGCGTTGATTTAAACCGTGCGTGCTCTAAAAAGTGCACAATGCGGACTACATGCGCGCGCCTCCCGCGCGCGCATGTCAAGCTATAAGAAAACCACTTGTATTATGAAACGGCTCAAGACATTGCTACCCGCTCTCTGCCAACAGCGATGTTCTGGCAAAACTTGTCAGGCAGCCACAGGTTGCTGACCATTCTGTCAACTTGGAGCACGTGGACCACACGCGCGTGCACGCCTTATCGCGCGCCCGCCAACTCTTTCAAACAAGGCCATGCGAGCCACACGCGTGCGTGTATGCGCGCGCACGTCGGAATCCTTCCAGAACCGCTGGCTCTCTAAGTTTTTCAGCATACGACAGACTAATGGCCTTGCAATTTACATGCGTCAGGGGATCTGAAGTTCTGCACGCGCACACTTCCTTATCATTCTCATCAACACCATCGCAATCACCATCGCCAACATCACCATTGCCATCGTCATCAGCATCGCCATCGTCGCCGGCATCATCACCACTGTTACCATCATCGTCATCGTCCATGTTGTTGCCCTCGTCGCCACCACCATCGCCACCGCCATCGTCCTCCTCCTCCTCCTCATCAGCATCATCAGCATCATCAGTATAAGCAGCAGCATCATCTTCATCTTCACTTCATCATCAGCAGCATCATCACGATCACCATAACCATGACCATCGCCACTACCATCACCACCACCGTGATCAGCATCATCAGCCTCATCAGCCTCATCATCATCATCATCATCATCATCATCAGTATCATCGTCATTACCACCATCAATCATCATCATCACCACCATCATCATCAAAAGCATCATGATCATCATCATCAGCATCATCACCATCAATCATCATCATCCTCATCCTCATTCTCATCCTCATCCTCATCCTCATTTTCATCGTCGTCGTCGTCGCCTTCGTCACCGAAATGGTCGTCACCATCGCAAGTCGCTCGCGCGAGTCGTGAAACTGCACGAGCAAGGCCCGCGCGCGAGAGTGCGCCTGCGGAGATTAACGATCAAGCTCCGAGCGGTAACTCCACTCGCGCCCTCTCGGGCTTTACCAACAACTTTCGGCGGCGAGCGAGGGGGAGAAGTGAGAAGGAGAAGGCCCTCTCAGAAGGCGGCGGGGCTTCTCAGAAACCCTCTGGCCTTCTGAGGGTTTGTTGTGCCTTCGGGGAAGGCTTAGGGAACTTCTCAGAAGGCCTGGGGACCTCCGAGCCTTCTGAGAAGGCCTTCTCCTTCTCATTTCCCCCCCAGGCGCGACGCCGAAACTTGATGGTGGGCGTCGGAACATCGAGAGTGGTCACGCGCGGATGCGGTCAGAATCGACAGCCAGTAAGCCCACGACTCCGTGCCCTGCCCCCCCCTGCACTTGCCCAAGGCAACTGCTGAAGAAAAGCGGAAGCGAACATCAATACCAAGATGCAGCGCCATGCAACAGGCGCACGATCACTCAATGCTCGCTACACGAGGCTGTCTTCGCGCCTCCCCCTTCCGCGCCACTCCGCCCCTTCCCTCACCACCCACCGCTTCCCGCTTGCCTCCCGCCCCTGGACACCTCCCTCGCACACATCCAGAGATACTGGGAAGGAGGGGGACGACGACGACGACTACGACCCACGACGACAACGACGAAGCGGACGAGGAGGACCAGCAGCAGGGCAAGGAAGATCTGAGGAAGAGGAGGGCAAGACTGACTCTTAAACCACACTCGCTCCGTTGGCGCATCTCTTCGGGGCGGCACCTGGGGGTTGAATCGCCCGATCCCTGGCCCCAGATGATCGCGCAGTCCGCGGCGCACGTTCAGCCTGGCCTGGCCGCCGGCCTGCGACGCAGCAGGCACCATTGGCCCCGGGGGTCGCCCCGACAAGGGTCGTAGAGGTCTGAACTCGGGCAGGGGCATCCAGCGTCTGATCGACAAGATGCCCGTGGCCGCCACGGACCCCACTGCGCCTGAGCAGGTGGCCTCGACACGAGGGCGTCTGGCCGACCAGCAGGTGGCGTCGGTCGTAGAGCCAGGCAGCGCCGCAGGCGGCGCAACTCGCCCGGGCTCAGAAGTTCGACAGCCCTATCATCGCCCCCTCACAAGAACACGATGTGACGACCGGAGCCCCTGTGACCAGCCACGGGGGAGTTCC